AATGCTGCTTCTTATATTTTTATTTTTCTTTTTTTATATCTTGCAGTTTCGATCTAGGCGAATATGTTTTCTTGGCTCGCAAGAGATTTCTTCTTTATGCGGATATCTTCAAGATTTTTTAAGATACTAGATCGAGACTATCACAGATTCTATTTCCCTCTGTAGTTTCAACATGCAACACGACGAGTCCCGAATCCGAGAAAACCGCCGTACATAAAAATAGCACTTTCCGATACGTGAGCTTGAGGAATGTAATCGTAAAGGGACACGGACCAATAAGTGGGTGGTGGGAAAAAAAGAGAGGGACAGATACGACGAAGAGCGTTATGCTAGGTCGCAAAGCGGGGAACACCCATAAAGTCATATGCCATTGAGGCATCGCGAGACATGGAGGCCCCATAAAATCCTTCGATTTCTATTTAGTAAGGAAGCAATATCAATCGCGACTTTGCGCGAAACGAGAAGCCCCGGGATATCACGATGCAGCATCCACGAGCACAACGGAAAGGATAAGGAAAAGAAGAGTGGGGGAGGGATGGGAGGGCGGATTGCGGTTTCTTAACGGTTTCCATCAGCATTCCTTCACACATCAATGACGCTGTTTCGTATCACCGGCGAAATTTGCGTTCCAGAATCCAGCCGAGAAGCTAGAATGCGAATCAGGATGACAAGATTTTCTTTCGCAATACACCCCAGTCTTTTATAAAAGTTGATATTTGCTGCAGAGGATGGCTCGAGAAAAGATAGTAGGGTGACGTGTATAAATTGAATTAGGAAAGGTGTTCGCTGCAAAAATATACGAAATTGAAAATAAAAAGAAAAAAAAACAGGGAATCGATCGACTTTTCGAATAATTATACTAACGAAGTTGAGATGTGTGAATATTCTTGTGTTCGTGAATATGCAACAAAGCAACTGCACGAAAGGGACAGCTCGGATTGCGTATCGCTCAACGTGATGCAAAGCATAAACAGAAGCGGAGAACAAACTTTTTTTTATTAGTTGCGAGTATTAGTCCCTTGAAGGATTTTTAAAATAACCAATTCGAGGACGCGAGCTTGCAGTTCCGAACGCAACTAGGATGAATTAATACCCTGATTGTGTATGTAGCGCGGCATGAAACGTGGACGAAAGATTATACTTTGCTATTGACGTAGCCGTGTAATTATTGCTCGCGGAAGGTAGAATCTATTCGTTGCATTCTATAATAGTCTCGCCCCTTACGATATATTACGATATATTATTGCATTCTATTCGTAATTCCATTTTGTACTTTAACAACGTACACGCGGTACAAACAGATTCGCAAATTGCGATGGATTAACATAGGTACATTATCATTGTGCATACGTGCCGAGAACAGATTAGGGGATAAAGCCTGGACGCGAAACGGTAAGAGATAGAATTTAAATTATCTTCTTCTTCTTCTTTCAGATCTATTAATTTTTTTCTTCCTGAAATAGACTGCTTTTTGCCTCGATCGAAACAACGATCGGTCAAATTTTAATTTAATATTTCATGTATTTCGATCAAGTGGCAAGAGACAAAGGGTCCAAAAATTGCTGCTGATATATATTAATTTTAAATGATTGAAAATATTGAATAATCGATATAATATTAAAAAACCTCACAGATTTATATTTATTCATATTTTTATAGTTCCATGTTTAAATCTATCTGCCCCAGCACTTTTTACTTCCGCAATTAGCATCGCAGTGTTCATTGACGCGAGTCGATTCGAGATTCTATTCTTAGCTTCCTGTAGGCACATTTCCTTACGCACACAAGCACACGCACAAATGCACGCGCACACATACACACTTGTCAATACTCGTGGTCCGATTGACCTGACAAGTCGTAAACTTGCTTTGTGAAACTCACCGATGAGGTACCATTCCCCGTTCGTGATGAAATCGGATAAGTCACCACCCTCCTCTGAGTTGAGTATCAGATCGAGCTACCAAGGTCAAAGTTTGATTAAGACGGGCACGTATCTACACGATGGGGATATTCCGTTAGGTAACTCGAAGCCGAACGTGCGCATGCAGCTACGAATTCCGCTCGCATCTACATCTACGTCTACGTCTATGGCTACGTCTACGTCTACTACATATCTGCCTACGAGACGGTGCATCCGCAAGTCGACGTTACGTAATAAGTCGTGCAATGGGAGAATTCGCTCGGCCGTGGGACGATGCGAAGAAGAGACGGTGATTTCTCTCTCGTGAAGCAGCGCGCTGGAGAACGCGTCCGGAGGAACGCGTTCGTGCGGCCGACAGGCGGAAAACTGGTTCTTTACCGTCACTGAAAATTGCCTTCCGCGTAATTAAGAAGTTCCCGTTTCCGGGCGAGGCGTTCGAAACACCGCAAATCGCCGCACGATTCCACCCGCGAATGCGTAGCGATCGCGTGGCCGCTCCGCAACGCGAAACTTGAAATTGTGTCACGCATCACGTTGCGAATATTTGATAAGACAACGTACATTTGTGCCACCTCTGCGAAAGTCGGAAAAAGGGAAGTTGGTCGAGTCCGGTTTTTACAAAATTTCAAATCAATATTTCACGAATAACGAATTTTCGAAGACGCGAGAAATTTTTACGAGAGCTTGTTAAGTTTCTTGTCCGACAAAAGTTTAAGGTACGATAGAGATGAGATATTAATCTGAGGACTTTACGAGAGGTAAAGTCAATAGCCCTTCGTTCCTGTATATTGTCGTACGATCCTGATAAAATATTAGTTTTAAGAACAACTCGATTCGCATTTAGATTTTGCGCTCGATTACTCTAGAGATATTTTAATTTAGATCCGATAATAGTCGACCGAAGGATTTCACAGCTTGCTACTTCTACGAATATCGCGCTGCAATCATATTAAAGTAATTAAATAAAATCCTGAACAAAAGGTTCTTGCTGCCTCTCGGCTTCTATCTACACGGAGGATTGGAGGACGAAAAATAAAGTGACGACGCCGGAGATACCTTGAAAAGATTTTCCAGTTTCTTTTAACTCCCGTATCTCTCGCCGAGTATCTGTTGCTCTTTGATCCGGAGCCAAATAGGATGTGGTTCGGCTGATTCCCGTGGGCTATCGAAGGTCCCGAAAAAATCCTTTCCCGATGGATAGAATTACCGTGTGCGACTTAGTCATTTACAAAAGCGCGTTTTCGCGGGAGATATCAATCATATAAATCGTACTGTATAATTTTATGTAACCTTGTAAATACTTGGATATTTTCGTTTGCAAGCCTCACAAATGCCTTTTCCTTCCAAGCTCGCTCGCCTACCGGCGAACGTTATTCCTCAAGGGAGAGATGTTATTATTCGTAAAAAACGCTATTTTTCAATATTTCTCAGCACAATGATGGTAAAACGAATATGATAAAACTTCAATAGTCCTTGATACACTTCATATATCTTCAAGAGAAACTCTTTTTTGCAAATATACGCAAATATCTACGTCTCGATCAAGCGATCGCAATTTAATTCGATCGTCGGTTACGGTCGCATTTTTCGTTCTCGGAAGGATTTCGATTCTGTCGTTGACTTGTTCAATCAAATTTCGTTTTGCTGCCGTCGTCTCTCAAACTGATCCTTTTTTCGATCATCCCCCGCAATAATTTCGAGCGCTACGCCGCCAGTTATATGGCAGGTGGTTGTATCGTGAAACCGGCAGTGAAAATTACGACGGATACATCGGGCTCGTAAAGTTAGCCCCTTATAATTCATCGTGACACGTATATTTTGCTTCGTGGCTTAGTTCGGCCCTTACTCACGGAGCGGCTACACGTGGTTTACTGCGCCAACGCGGATGCATCGGGAATGGACGTCTCGAGATGCAAATGCACTGGCTGCGGTGCACCGCGGCCTCTTAACTAATTAAATTCAATCTTCATATATAACGCCTCTTATCCGACAAGCTTAATCAAGCCGATGACGTTAAGAAACGCCCCGCGGAGGTGCCTCGGGCTCCTCGTACGTGCCATTAAGCGCCTCGTCGAATAATCATAGCCTCCGGTGATTGCATTCGGGAAACAACGAGCCGTTTTTTCGCCATATCGACCGCCACAGATCCCACCTGTAAATCTCGAATTGTGAACCCTGGTATAATTATGACAAGTTCGATTTTCCGCGCTCACGTACGGGAACAGGCGCGTACCCCGTGTCACGACGTTGCGTTTCCACTAATTTGATAAACATGAAAATTATCCTCGTACGGATGCGAATAATATTGAAATACGAACCCGTCCGAATTATATAGGTTTCAATTCGCGCTGCAAATGGATGCATGCATGCATGCAAAATCATTAATCTGTAATCAGTTAGAAACGACGTAGGTTTGACGTCTGGTGCTTCTCGATTGCAACGTAAAATGATAAATAAATGAACGGACCGGTATATCTTTAGAAGTGTACGGATTTGCAGACTCGATCTCTACGTGTACGATCGAGAGACCGTCTCTAATACACAGAACTCTCGGAAACATCGATACCGTACATTTAGCGGTCGTCGTAGCTTTTGGCTTCTCTTCAAAGAAGAGGATAAAGTTGGAAGTTACTCGCGCGTGACTCGAAGATGTGACGTTTGCGTGAACGATCAGGCGAAAAAGTGTGACGCGAGGCAGATGGACCCGGATGTGATGCGAGGGAAGGGATGTCACGGTCAAAGCACATGTTTCACGACTCGCAATCGGGACTACGTTTAAAACCGATTCAAACGATGAGCGTAATTGACCATGCTCCTTATTAACAAATTTACACGAAATTGACACACAGGTCGTTCACATACATGTACACGTACACGAAGCGCGTTATGTTATCTCCGTTCAGAGGCCAGGGATCGGAACGTGCGAGCTGTTTTACGGTAAGCTCGGGTCTCGATGCTTCGGATAGCGCATCTTATTCGTACGATGTGTGAATACCATATGGAAATCTCGTTTTCCCGCTCGCACGGCGCGGAGACTGAGACCCGAATTCGCCAAAATTACTCCGGTTTCAATCCCCAAAATGTTTCAGTAGTTTCACCATCGCGGAACACGTATACCGCGGATATACGTGACAGAGCATGGGACATGGGAGAAGTCTGCGTGTGAGCGGTGGACATCACCTACGCGCCATCAAGAAAGCATGCAAGCTACGACACGCGTCACGACACGAAACGGCCATTAATTTTCTGTACATATATATACACACACATGACATGCGACACACACACGCTATACAGACATATCAATCAATAACGGTTGATGTTGATTCGTTGAGTGACGGAGGGCAAGATGGATTGAACAAAGTTCGGGTGTACGACATATATATAAACGACATAATCTTCAGAGAGTTTGGCACAAATACAGATATATAAATTTATATGTCATATAGGGGGGGGGCGACGGGGGGAGAGCAGTCGATATGAGTCGAAGGTGGGGGGGAGCGAGGAGAGACAACGTTTATATGCGGCAGAGTAATTGGTGGAAATGCGCTCGGATTGCATTTCAACGGGGGGGTGCAGTGCAGCCTGCAGTGACGGCGATGGGGACGATGCAACGGCGGGTAATCGAGAGATCGAAAGCGGGCTACGGCATTTCGGCACCTATCCCCCGTCGGGTCACGGTGAATCGCAGCGCTCGTAAATCTCGCCGCGAAATGCGTGAGTGCGTGCGAAAACGTGTATCGGGTGTCCCCGCGAGTTGTCGAGAGTTTCACTGTCCGGCTCAATTGGATCGGGCGCATTTAATAGCCGCATTTTAATTGATTCCCGTCCGGCCTTTAACGAGCTCCATAAACGCATTCCGAGGTTTATTGAAAGTCTCTAAAAAAAAAAAAAAAAAAAACAAACAAA